GTTATGCAAATCTTCCCACATCGTGACGTAGACATGTGGGGGCGTGTTTAAACAAGGCGGTTTAGGAGGCGTGGACCAGTCTTAACTTTTATAAAGAATATCTCTTTGGGTTTGAGACTTTAGTCTTTGCAACTTTAGGGATATTATCTATTCACGGACAGCTTGTAACACTCCAAAGAGAAAGGAAAACTTGAAATCGCATCATATGACCCCTTTAAGTTAGCAGCAGCTTCACAAATTGCAATTGATTATGTTGTGAGTTCATTCTGCTGGACATTCTGTCATAAGGTCTTTTGTAATCTTTAGTGATTACAAAGGCTGGTCCTGTTTACATCATGCTGTGGCTGAGGGATACACACAGACAATAAAAATTCTCCTGGTAGCCAATGTCAAACTACTGGACGAAACGAATGAGGATGGGGTAAGCGGCGTAAAAATCCTAAACAACACAATCAGTTCGAGAAATACAATTACTAAGCCATAGGTAAACCACTGAAGAAGATCCAAACTTAACATAGTCTCACGAATGCAGTTCTTTTGAACTTTCTATTCATCAAATGCTCCTGAAAAACAATGTATCACAATTTCCACAAAAATATTAATATTGAAATATGAACTGTTTTCAACATTTATAGCTACTACATACATTTTTAAAATATATTAAAATAGAAAACCGTTTTAGAAAACAGTTTTTAAATTCTAATAATATTTCACAGTATTACTGTTTACACTGTATTTTTGATCAAACAAATGCATCAAACTAAGTAATTATTGTCCTTTATGATTATAATTGAACAACACTGCTTATTAATCACATGTATGCTTTAACAGAACACGGCCCTTCACATAGCTGCACAAGCGGGACATGTAGGTGCTGTTTTGCTGTTATTGGACAGAGGAGCTGAAATCACTCTCAACAATGCTGACAACTCTTTTTTGCATGAAGCTGTGCGTAATGAGAAAAAAGATGTAGTGAACGCTATCATCGAAAGTGAGAGGTAAGGAGACATCCACATTCAAGATGACCACCTTTTGGAAGGCAGTATTAATTTTAATATAAAAAAATTACTCGGATTCCAGATTAATAATAATATATGAATTAACATTGTGAAAATTGTTATTATTATTAATTTTATTGTTAGGCTGATTAGGCTGATTGTTAGGCTGATTATTAGTATTATTACTATTTTTTTTTTTAGCTGAAGCTTTAAGATAAGTAAAATAACTTTGTGTCAATTCAGTATTTCCATCAAAATCATTCCATCAGGATAATTTTTTTTTCTAAAACGAGAAAAAACTATTTTAAACTACTTTTAATAAACACTTTTAAAGTTTCCTTTTCAGTGTTTTGATATATATATATATCAGTGTACAGTAGGATTTTTAATGCAACAGTATGAGAGAATCGGTTGAGGGTCTACCATGGCAAAACTCTGTAATTATGTATTTTGTTATATTTTTTAAACCTATATTGTTTTTCTCCTCTCAGTTTGCCAACAGTTGAAAAAGCTATATTAATTCACTGCAGGTTTGCCGAGGCAATAAAGTCATTTAAAGCGACATCCCGCTGTGCCGTGATGGACATCATAGAGTTTCTCCCAGAGTCTTTCAGGGTCTGTGTATTAACTTCCCACCTTATGGATATCTATGTAAGCTATTGTTTATAAAAAAAATTTGACATTAAACCCCACTCTCTTCTGAACAGCATCTTCTGGACCGGTGTATTTTAGAGTCTGATCATGATGCCAACAGTTCAGATTATCATGTAAGCCTTGCATAAATGTGCAAAAAGTTGCATTAAAGGGTTAGTTCACCCAAAAATGAAAATTCTGTCATTAATTACTCACCCTCGTGTTGTTCGAAACCCTTAAGACCTTCGTTCATCTTCGGAACACAATTTAAGATATTTTTGATGAAATATGAGGGCTCTCTGACCCTCCCATAGACAGCAAGGTAACTACCACGTTCAAGGAAGGGAAAAGTACCAAGATGATCGACAAAGAAGTCCGTGTGACATCAGTGGTTCAACTCTAAAGTTACGAAGCTAGGAGAATGCTTTTTTGCATAATTTGTGTTCCGAAGATGAACGAAGGTCTTGTGGGTTTGGAACGACATGAGGGTGAGTAATTAATGACAGAATTTTCATTTTTGGGTGAACTATCCCTTTAAGACTATTAATGAGGTTCCTTAACGCTATAAAGTGCAATTGTTCAATGATGTTGGCAGATCAAGTATGATTTTCGGTGGCTTCAAGCTCCTATACAGCTAAAGAAGTATGCCAAAACAGACAAAACAATGAAGTTCCAACCTTTGGCAGCTGTGAATGTAAGTCCCCTTAAATTCTATTACATTATATATATATATATATATATATACATAAAAGCAGTTGTGGCTGCCAGATCTTTACCATAAAAAATATGATAGCAACATTTTGAGAATTGTAAAACAAATGTTTTACAGATTGTAATTTTACAAAAAAAAAACAACAACAACTGTATATTTCATTAACTCATATAATGTAAATATACCAACCTACTAAAGTACTAAAATTGTATATTTCAGTAACTTATAAAATGAAAAACCATACTAATTGAAGTGTAAATAACTGTAAATTGCTAGGTGACTTGGTCTTTTTTACTTCTAAATGCTGCAAATTTAAAAGTATTTTACTTTTAAGCATTATATATACACTCTCAGAAAAAAGGTACAAAAGCTGTCACTGGGGCGGTACCTTTTCAAAAGGTACACTTTTGTACCTTTTAGGTACTAATATGTACACTTTCGGTACTAATATGTACCTTTAAGGTACCAATATGGACTCTTTAGGTACAAAGTTGTGCCTTTTGAAAAGGTACCACCCCAGTGACAACTTTTGTACCCTTTTTTCTGAGAGTGTATATACACATTGAATCTAGTGATATCTGACTTTTAGACCCCATTGTACACTATACATTCTAAAATACAAAGCTCCTATTCTTTCTGCAACCTAAAATAGTGTGAGAATAAATTGTAACTCTTGCACCACACTAGGCCATGGTGCGGTACAACCGTCTGGAGCTCCTCACTCACCCCGTGAGCCAAAAATACCTGGAGATGAAGTGGTATGTTAAAGATGTTCTGTAACAGTTCTGGTCGTGATGTTTTAAGTCACTATGATATGCTAATTTCTACAGTCCTATACAATACAGTCACTGCATTTTACTTCAGAGCATCTGGTTAAAAATAGCAGCAGTGCAGTGTTAACATCACTTCAAACAAATAGACTGGTTTACATAAGCATTTGAATATCCTACTGATATTGTGTTTTATTCGGACAGGAAGGCGTATGGAAGCAAGGTTCATTTGCTCAACCTGGCTGTCTACCTGCTTGGCTTGTTGCCCCTCACATACCTCATCCTCAATCTGAGACCGAAGCAGGAAGTTTTTGGCAACAACACATCTGTCATCATGGTGCCCGTATCTTTTAGAGAGGTAGACAGCCTTTGTTCAGAGATCTCTGGCATCTTGTAGGGAAGAGATGAGCTCAAAAGAGTTGAAGTGAACACAATGTAGAGTGTAATTCCTGTAATGTGTGGAACAAATGACAGCTGGAGATGCGTATCAGTGACAAGCAGAGAAGGGAAAGGTGAAAGAGAATAATGGTAGTTGAATTTAAATGACAATCAAATTGATTGTGAATTACTATTCAAAGTCACACAGTGTCATAAACGCTAAGAGATAGGGAAATTATATTACCTTTTTTAGATGTATTAATATAATTCTGTCTTCTAGATGTGGTGCTACACATCAGTGGTGTCAAAACACAAGGGAGGGTCTGGGTGTTACTAGAGACAATTTATGGGTCACTTTTCATGAAAAGAGTAGAAAATTCCCATTATTTTTTACATGTTGACTTTAAAATGAATTTAGGCACATCCCATATTTTGGTCAAAATTGTCAATTAAAAAAAGAAGGAATCAGACAACTCCAGAGAAAATTAATGGGACAAATATTCACGCCCAATTAACAACTGTAGGAATGAAGGTCTTGCCTTTCATTTAAATGTAACAAACCATATAATTGAATGTAATCACACTACAATCAATCAATCAATTTTCATTTTCAGATGAACAAAATTCCCATTATTTTTTACATGTTGATTTTAAAATTAATTTAGGCACATCCCATATTTTGGTCAAAATTGTCAATTAAAAAAAGGAATCAGATAACTCCAGAGAAAATGAATGGGACAAATATTCACGCCCAATTAACAACTGTAGGAATGAAGGTCTTGCCTTTCATTTAAATGTAACAAACCATATAATTGAATGTAATCACACTACAATCAATCAATCAATTTTCATTTTCAGATGAACTAACCCTTTAAGAAAGAATTTTGCATTTTTTAAAGGAATAGTTTACCCAAAAATGAAAATCCACTCACTCTCAGGGTCACAAGTTTGCTTCTTCTTAATTTAGCATTACAACACTTGCTCATCAATAGATCCTCTATTGTGTAAAGGCAGTGAATGGGTGCCGCCAGAATGAGAGTCCGAACAGATGATAAAAACATCACAATAATCCACAAATATTCCACATGACTCCAGTCCATCATTTAATGTCTTGTGAAGATAAAAACTGCATGTTTCTAATAAACAAATCCATCCTTAAGATGTTTTTGACTTCAAACTGTTGCTTCTGGTTACAATATGAGTCCTCTATCCATAATAGTGTTTTCTCCAGTGAAAAAGTGGTCTTGTCCGAATCAGGAGAGAAATATGCACAGATCAAGCACCATTTACAAGCAAAAATAGCTCTAAACAAATATGTCAGTGGATTTTGATATGAGAGAACAGCAGGTCATGGACTTTTTCACAGGAGGAAGCTTTATTATGGATTATAGACTCTTTTGAATTATAGAATATAGAATTATAGAATATAGATTATAGAATTTTGTCCAGAAGCAACGGTTTAAAGTTAAAACACTTTAATGATGGATTTGTTTCTTAGAAACTCTCAGCTTTTTACTTCACAAGACATTTATTAGTCATGTGGATTACTTTATTGTGAAATTTTTATCAGCTGTTTGGACTCTCATTCTGACGGCACCCATTTACTGCAGAGAATTCATTGGTGAGCAAGTGTTGTAATTCTAAATTAAGAAGAAGCAAACTTATCTACTTGTGATGAAATGCTAAATTTCTCCAAATCTGTTCTGATGAAGAAACAAACTGAGGGTGAGTAAATTTTCAGCATTTTATTTATTTTATTTTTTTTTGGGTGAGGAATTCCTTAAAAGCACACCAATAATGTCAACTTTTGTCATTATATTGGGGTCAGAAGGACCCATGGTTCTTGTTGTCAAGTTGGCCTAATCTGTTATGCAATGACAAGCCAATTATTCCAGCTATCATTCATAATCACATGCACATCCATTCACATTTGCATTCACTTCCTTATAACCTTGTCCATGTCCCATTACTTAATTTAGTTAGTGTCATTATGAACTGAATGGCATTCATCAACTTCCCACTTATTCATCAGCTCAAGGTTATAATCCCCATGAAATTAAGTATGTCTAATCTTGTACGCATATTACCGTTTATCTTTTTAGAAATGGCACACAATACTCATATTGGCATTAGTATGATCCATTTTTGAGTGTGAGGAACATGCACACACCATAGCAGAGATTTTTAATTTAGCATAATATGCTAGTTGGGTTATGAATGAAAAGTAATACAGTCATTATGTAAATGTGATTAATTTGGCGATAATGTTGTAATGATACTCTCTCTCCCTCTCTCTCTTTTCTCTCCATCCAGCAAAAATGTTTAATCTCAGTCTGTATAATCATGGTGCTTGTCTTGAATGTGTATTCCGTTTGCAAAGAGCTGGCGCAGTTGGCTCAGCAGGTAATAGTTGTGTCATCACTTCCCATGATGCATCCACTATAAATTCCTCTCATACTACTACAGAGACTCTCAGCAGAGGGCAATCAAACCATCACTAATCATAAATGTCATGATGCACATTAAACACACATGCCTTTGCTGTGGGGATTCCCTTGCAGGGCTCTACGCCTTCCAGCCAAGTGATTTACCAATAAAAACACAGCTCAGATTTTGCATGCATTGTTATATACTCTATTGTACTCTGTGCCACTGGCGTTGGTATTCAAATTGCACTATGTTTGGAACCTAAAGGTGATTTTATTTAACCCCTCATATCTTTTACATTACAGCAAATAAATTACTTCACGGACTTCTCGAACCTTGCTGACTGGTGTGCAGCTATTAGCTCTTTAGTCTTTGTCATTCCCATGTGCTTCAATCTAGAGAACACTTGGCAATGGGAGGCTGGAGCTTTCGCCATTCTGACTTCATGGATCGGCTTCCTGCTCTACTTTCAGAGGTCTAGTATTAGTGGTCACATTTTCTAGATTTATCTCAAAGATATTATAGGGTTGCTGATCAATTTAAATTTCTAATCACATTAATTACAGTACATGATATGCTGATTAATAAAATGAAGTGCTGTAAATTGTATTTAGTGTATATGCTGTAAGAAATGCACAAATTTATAGATGGGTTGTCAGCCGATATTTAAGATTTTTATAGATATATCAATATCAGTCGATACTTGATATTGTCCATATTATTACATTTAGAATACACTACTGTTCAGAAGTTTGGAGTCAAAGATTTTTAGGTTTTTTCCAATGTTTTTGTCATTTATGCTCACCAAGGCTGCATCTACTTGATTTAAAATGCCGTAAAAACAGTAATATTGTGGAATATTATTATAATTTAAAATAATGTAATAGATTTGATAATGTAATTAATTACTGTGATGCAAAGCTGCATTTTCAGCATAATTACTCCAGTCTTCAGTGTCACATGATCCTTCAGAAATCATTCTAATATGCTGATTTGGTGCTCAAGAACTTTTCTTATTATTATCAATGTTAGTATATTTTTTGTGGAAACCATTATTTGCAATAGTAAAGAAATGTCTAATTTTTCTGTCACTTTTCACTAGTTTAATGCATCCTTGTAAAAAAAAAATGTTTGGCATCATCTAACACTCACTTAAAATGAATCTTAAATTCAGTAATAATTTATTAGCACTGTGAAATGTAATCTTTTGCAAATCTAAAAATGAATATCCATTTTCTTACTACACATTACAATGTGATTAATAAAGCCACTTTTAGCATTTAATTAATAAATTTTTTATTTATTTCTGCAAAATAGTCTAAAACGTTTGCATAAAACATCTGAATTCTCATATGCCCTTTTCACATGGCAGGTTTGAGCGAATTGGAATTTACGTGGTGATGTTTGGTGGAATCGTTAGGACCCTGGTGTGCATCATGATTCTCTTTATCTTCCTATTGCTCGCATTTGGATTGGCCTTCTACGCTTTGATGCTCCACCAGGTAAGTCCAAACGGAGAGATCATATCAACCCAGCATGACAGACCTGTCAAGTCTTGGCAAATCGGTGTGGTTTGATAATGATGTTTACTGTTTGCTGCTTTCGACAGGATGAGTTCAGCTCCATCAGCCTTGCTCTAGCCCAGACGTTTGTGATGACAGTGGGAGAGCTGAACTACCAGAGCACATTTCTGCACGCTTATGAAAACAGCCGCATGGCGTTCCCCGGGGTCACCTATTTTATTTTTGTGCTCTTTGTGCTTCTCATGCCTATTCTTCTCATGAACCTAATGGTAGGACACTCAGCACTGGCCTGCTGGAAGCCGGCTATTATTGTTAATGATGGCTGCAATTTGTTAGGAGGTATTAGGCTTATTTGTCTAAATCATGTTGCAGATTGGTTTGGCAGTAGGAGATATCGCAGAGGTACAGAGAAATGCAGAGTTGAAGAGAATAGCCATGCAGGTGAGCAGACTGGATATCTCTAATTAATGTAAATTTTTAGCAGTATTCTGCGAAACTGTTTTATAAAACCTAGTAAGATTTAAAGACAAGTATAAGTAGCACATCTAGTGCATCACATTAATCAAGAAAGCACTTCATTACAGATAGATCTTCACACTGCCCTTGAGGAGAAGCTACCTTACTGGTTCCTGAAGCGAGTGGACAAACCATCTATCACCATCTATCCCAATAAATGCAAGGTTTGTCTATCGACAAATGCTATTCCTACTCTGGTCGCACACATTAACTTTTGATAAAATTCTGTAAACTAACATTTTTCAAACAATAGAAAAGACATTTGAGTGAATATTAACATTTAATGACAATCATTTGTTAAACAGAAAGTGCTGATGCAGGCGCTCATTGATGGTGAGATCCAAAACACAGTTCGCACCCGTCTGAACCTCTGCTCGCGGCAGGGAGGGCCTCTGGAGAGAGAGCTGCACAAGCAAAAGAACAGGTGATCTCTTTGTTTTGGGTTTACTCAGGAACACCGACTAGAGCAACATAAAGGATTTGATTTCAAAACTGAGCAGAAACGTTTGTTCCAGTGTGAACTTTTTAGAAAAGATTTATATTTTTCCATCTATTTAACATCACAATAAAAAGTGGGAAGGTTTATCAGCCTTTTTATGCAATAATATGCCTATAAAACCATCTGTCAGAAAAAAATTTGCCAAAACTGTAGCTTTAGAAGTACAACAGCTTGTCACTGAGACATGAAGGTACCTCTGTACCTTTTAACAACATTCAAAAATATATTTGTACCTAAACTACCTTTAAAGGATATATTAGTACTTTAAGATGTATTTTTGAGTGTACAGTCCCAAGCTGTTAAACATCTTTTCTGAAACCTCTACAAAACATTTGGAGCATTTTTTTGTGATGTGGTAGGAAATAATGCACCAAAAGCTTAAAGGGATAGTTCACCCAAAAAAAAAGAAAATTACCCCATGATTTACTCACCCTCAAGCCATCCTACAGTAGACGCGCGTATATGACTTTCTTCTTTCAGACAAATACAGTCGGAGTTATATTAAAAAATGTCCCGACTCTTCCAGGCTTTATAATGGCAGCAGTGGGTAGTGCTCCAGATTTTGAAGCCAAATAAAGTGCATCCATCCATCATAAAAAGTTCTCCACACGGCTCCGGTGGGTTAATAAAGGCCTTCTTAAACGAAGCAATGCATTTGTGTAAGAAACATATTCATATTTTTCAACTTTCCAGCAGATGAGGCAGGACGTAAGTGTAAGCGTAAGCTCTGATGAGAATATGCTAGTCTTGTGAGAACCAAGTTTTGTTTACAGCAAAGGAAAACCAGGCTACTCTTTGGCTTATATCGAAATCCTCCAACATTTTTCGTTACAAATCCTCGTTTTGTACTTTTAATTTGTGACCAGTGTTTTGTTCTGTGTTTCTAGGGTGACCATATTTTATTTTTCAAAAAAGAGGACAGTGGGGGCAGGATGCATACGGGGGTTTGTTGTTGGGTTTGAGGGGGGTTAAAGTAGCCCCCAAAGTAGCGCAATGACCATATCCCAAATATCAAAACTCAAAATATGTCATTTCCATAGCTAAAATGCATATTTTACAGTCAATGTTATGCAGATTGATCATATACACAGCTAAAAGGCTTCCTACCAGTGGCCATCCTTCACAAAACTTAACATCTACCACAGTTTTATCATAGGTAGAATGCAAAATGTTTCAACACAAGCATTGCAGTCAAATGTAAGTAATGCAATATTTTAAACCTTTAACCCAGGTTTTTATGATGGATGGTTGCTAGAGTGACCATGCGTCCTCTTTATGATATGGTCATTGTGCTACTTTGGGGGCTACTTTAACCCCCCTCAAACCCAACAACACCCCTCCCACCTCCTGTATGCATCCTGCCCCCACTGTCCTCTTATTTTTGAAAGCTAAAATAACTTATGGTTATGTCATATATGGTCACCCTAATGGATTCACTTTATTTTGCTTCAAAATCTCGACCACTATTCACTGCCATAATAAAGCTTGGAAGAGCCAGGACATTTTTTTATAACTCCAATTGTATTTGTGTGAAAGAAGAAAGTCATATACACCTAGGATGGATTGAGGTTGAGTAAATCATGGGGTCATTTTCATTTTCGAGTGGACTATTTCTTTAATATCTAATCACGTTGACGCATGTAAGTGAAAATAAAGCTATTGTAGGTTGTTTTAAAATCTGAACACTACAAACCAGGGTTATTATCATTAACTACAACTAAAACCATTAAACAAAATCATTTTTAGAACTTGAAATAAAATAAACATTACCTAAAATAAAATATTTTGCAAACTTAAGCTAGTTATCAAAGAAATATTTCTCATTTTGTTTAATTTGTTGAACTACTAAACTAACAAAAACTTAAAAACTATATAGATGTATTAAAAAAAACTAATGACAAAAGCACAAAAAAGTACTAAAGTTTTAATAGTATATTAATGATACTAAAATAACACTGCCACAAACCTGTCAGACTTGTGGGAGAGCAGCCTCTAGTGTTCATTAGACATAATGCACCATCAACCACACATTCAAATGCATTAAGCAATTAGGAGTTTTGTTTGCAGCATCAATTCAAATTAAATTCAAATTCAAATATGAATGGCACAGCTCTAATTCACATATCTCACCTACCTTACTTTTAGAGAGTTTCAGATAAAGCGATGTATTTTCAAAATAATATTTGAAATTGAGTCTGCTTATAAGGTTCATAACAAACACCAGCATTCTCGACCACTATTCACTGCCATAATAAAGCTTGGAAGAGCCAGGACATTTTTTTATAACTCCGATTGTATTTGTGTGAAAGAAGAAAGTCATATACACCTAGGATGGATTGAGGTTGAGTAAATCATGGGGTCATTTTCATTTTCGAGTGGACTATTTCTTTAATATCTAATCACGTTGACGCATGTAAGTGAAAATAAAGCTATTGTAGGTTGTTTTAAAATCTGAACACTACAAACCAGGGTTATTATCATTAACTACAACTAAAACCATTAAACAAAATCATTTTTAGAACTTGAAATAAAATAAACATTACCTAAAATAAAATATTTTGCAAACTTAAGCTAGTTATCAAAGAAATATTTCTCATTTTGTTTAATTTGTTGAACTACTAAAATAACAAAAACTTAAAAACTATATAGATGTATTAAAAAAAACTAATGACAAAAGCACAAAAAAGTACTAAAGTTTTAATAGTATATTAATGATACTAAAATAACACTGCCACAAACCTGTCAGACTTGTGGGAGAGCAGCCTCTAGTGTTCATTAGACATAATGCACCATCAACCACACATTCAAATGCATTAAGCAATTAGGAGTTTTGTTTGCAGCATCAATTCAAATTAAATTCAAATTCAAATATGAATGGCACAGCTCTAATTCACATATCTCACCTACCTTACTTTTAGAGAGTTTCAGATAAAGCGATGTATTTTCAAAATAATATTTGAAATTGAGTCTGCTTATAAGGTTCATAACAAACACCAGCATTTCAATACAACTGTGCAGTGGTTGCATCAGTTAACATTTACTTTTTAACTCTCATCTAAGTCTATGAAAGTTGTCAGACATACACTGCATTTGATCCGCTCTTCCCTTCAGGTTGAAAGTGATGTCCTGTTTGCTGGAGAAACAGCATAACCTGCTCAAGCTGATCATCCAGAAGATGGAAATCACTTCTGAGGCTGATGAATACGACGGCCCACATAACCCTAGAGCTCTGAAACAGCCCACTTCCTCCTCATCGCAGAAGTCAAAGTGGGTCCCGCTGCTGCAAGCCATTAGGGCAAAGAAGTAATATTAGAGATGATGACATCATGTGTCAATATAAGCCAAATACCCCGCCATCATTACTTATATTGGCTATATTTTGTTGTGATTTAGTATATAGTTTTAGTTGTTGTTCTTATCTGATTAAGTGTAATTGTGTAATCATGAGCTCATAATGTATGTAGAAGGTTACACTGATATATATGAGTCAGTCTATTAAATCCACGTAAAGTTTTTACTGAACTCTGAAGTGTTTGAATGATATCCAGTGCTTTAATACATAATGAAGATCTTATAGCACCAGTACTGAAAATGAGAAGAGCATTTGGAATTAATGCACTGACAAGCTCCTAATGCAAACTTAAAGACTTGAAACTCTGTGATGCATCACATATAGATTTATCACACCGATCGGTCGAGTCGAAGAATTAGCATGTAAATTTCCTCTGGCCTCGTGCCCGGATGTAGTAACCCTGAGACTCTTTGTTATACCAAACAGTAATTTCAAAGTAGTTCTGCCAATGGGGAGCACAAGTGTGTAACCCTCATTTTTTGGGTCTGTTTTAGTCCATTTTTTTTAGTATATCCACCACTACATCATGATGAGATTCCCATGAAAGCTGCATTATATAAAACCGTCTTGTTGATCAGATTGTCAATGGTGATTTCACAGACTTAAACAAGTCACTCAAGTTGGGAGTAGATTAAGACATGCACCTGCATGGCCGGAACACTGTAAAAATCACTTTGTGATTTTGCATGGACATCATGACATGTAGTAAATTTGATGACAAGGATCACTATATCCAGATTAAATGGATTTGCTTTAGATTTGGTCACTTTAAGCAATACTAAACCTATGTATTTATTGAAGTACATGTGCTTGATGCATGAAAAACCTCAATTTTAAGAAGATAAATTAAATGCAATATACTGTGTTCAAGCCACCTCAGTTCGTCAAGTCTCAGTTTTTCTGACATTGAACCCCAATCAGCTGTTCTTAGGCTTTGGAGGCAAATGAGAGAAAAACAGCAATTCTCATCTGTCATCTGGTCAGTGTTTCACAGCATTAGGAGTTTACAGAGCCCAGATACATCACTTCCTCCTCCAAAGGAAGAACAACATTTCTCACACCCACCACTCAGATCTCCGCTAGACGGATATGTTTGACATGTATTTTATTAACTATTAATTATATAGTTTGATAAATAAAACCAAAAAGTTGTAATTGGTATAAAGAAACAACTGGGGGTGGGGGTAGATCATTATTTGCATGCAAATTAAGCATTTTTTTCCCAGCAAATTCTCATTACCACAACATTCCCATAATAAAATCTACCTAAATTAAAGATTTGTGTATTTTATTTGAAGTTATTCAAGCATTTCAATTAAACCTAATGAAAAGTTTTTGTGCATTACTGTAATACTAATACTAATAACCTATAACTAGATAAAAAAGTTTGTCAAGACAAACTTTGAAGTTGGCTTGAGAAAGCTAAAACAGAAAGTTAGAAAAGTTTTAAAAGCAATAAGTTTGAAGTAGTTTGAAGTTTAAAGTAGTTTTAAAGATAGATAGATAGATAGATAGATAGATGCTAAGGTACTTAGAGTGGTTGGTAGGGTGTTGCTATGCGGTTGCTAAGGTAATTTACTAATATAATAATATTTTTAAAAGTTAATAATAAATACAAGTTTGGAATAATTAAGATTTTCATAAGAGAGTCTCTTTTGCTCACCCAAGCTACATTCTTTAAATTAAAAAAGTAATTGCAGTAATATTATTGCAATTTAAAATAACTTTTTTTTTCTATTTCAGTATATTTTAAAATGTAATTTATTCCTGTGATGGCAAAGCTTAATTTTCAGCAGCCACTACTTCAAGTCTTCAGTGTCACATGATCCTTCAGAAATCATAATGATATGCATATTTGCTGCTCACAAAACATTTATTAATATTAAAATAAAATAAAAATTTTCTTTTTTCTGTACATTAATGAAAATGCATCCATTTTTAAAGCAAAATCTAACTACTTATTGTCTTTTCATTTTAGTATGAGACTGTGAGTGTATGATCTGGACATGTTCTTAGACAGCTTTTGTGAGATTCACTCCCATCAAAGTCAGGCTGGAACTGGGAGCAAATGGATTGTTCACTCTTCAGCCACTTATATCATTCAATTAAATGTGCTTGATTCAATGCAGGGGGAGGCTTGACTAAAATGGGGGCGTATTGATTTTCCTAATGGCCGTTTTGATGCTGTTACATGCCATTTGTTTTACACTGCAGCTGTGAGAGTGTGGTGGCCATGGGAACCAGGGGAGGAGAGCGTGCATAGCTGATGTCATAGTCCTGCACCTGTCCCGCTTACTCATTCACACAAAACAGAGGGAGAGAAAGAAGGAAAAGAGCCACTGCCCACACTATGACCCTTAACACGCTTACCGACAGACAACTGCACATTTCTCATGTTAGCTCTGACCTAAAACAACGTGGGCAGCATTGTTCCCATGTAATTAGTCCCTGTGTGGAAGCTTGGGAAAGATATGCTTACACAGTTGTTTAAAGCAGAGATTAGTGTTAAAATGCTATGAAAGGTGCCTCTGTTGCTGCTTCACATACATTTGTTTGCTTAGACTTTATATACTAAGGCATCTTGATCCTGCAGATTTTCCCTTAAAGAGATGTAGTTTTTTGTTTGAATGATTGCAAGCTCAGAGCAACAGGTTCCCATCAGGTGAACAGATATTTTGTATGTAAAACAGTTTAGACCTGCTATAGTTAAAAAATAAAAAAAAACTGATTATGTCCTTGGATAAGTCTCATCCTGGAAGAAAATGCAGGTCACTGAACTTGCTACTGTGCCTTATGCAATATGCATCTGCAGATTTCTAGAGATTCTTACCGGTCATAAAGGCTATAAAAACTATAAGCCTGTTTTCCACCAATGGGCAGAATGGTTCTCATTGCGAAACATCCCAGTTTCTTTTTCCACTGTGGTGCTGTGAAATGAAAATTATGGTGCGGTCACATTTTCTGTTGTTCGGTTTGTTTTAATCGAGACATTTTAGTTGGAATCAATGTGAGCAGGATTTTCATGTGAAGGCGAAGGATTTCCTCTTGCAGATTTCACAACAGGTTCAGTTTGGTCTAACCGAAAGCTGCTCTATTTGAAAATGACTTGTGACTCACAAAGCTGTGCTTCATACGTCGCTACACTATTGACAATAGGCTACACAATGAACCTTTTTCCCACAGAATTTTGCTAATGTGGCCACAACTTTATTTTATTCCAAACCAAACAGCTTTCTGATTGTTAACATGATGAATCTGCATGACTGCTGCTAAATCTGTGTGCGAAATTCCAGATTCCAAATTCCTATTGTAAATACTGGATTTGGCCTGCATTTTGTCGAGAAACTGTACCTTTTAGAATATAAGTTATCTTGGTGAAACTTTGGCTACTTTGTAGTTTCACTGAGTATCAGATATTAGGAACTTTTACTTGACTATATTTTTGAATAAATATATGAACTCTTTACTCCAACATGTTTGTGATGAGTAATGTAATTACTCATTACATTTTGCATGGCACCTAACTTTTTCTGCAGCAGTTTATTTCTGCTACGAAGAAAGTGATATCGCCATCTACAGGGCATGTTTTGCCCTTACTCACCCAAACTTGTCAACAAGGCTGTTTTATGAAAATACAAGTGCATTAGCAGATACAGCAGTTGTGAATCGCAGGTTTTGTATATGAGATGAGGACATAACTAAATACTTTTTGAAGGATATTGGTTTACTTATGTGCTTAAGTGTTCGCAGATGTTTAAGACGCTGTTGTGTCGACTTTGATTTATTGCAATATTGAGGTGTTCAGGTTTATTTTGATTTTAGACAATAAACATAATAGCTCTATTATTTTTCTATTACACAGGATTTTACTATATATCTATTATACAAATTTTTTTCACTGGCATTTCTCTTAAGCCCTAAACACACTGCACGATTTTTGGCTGGCCTGACGAAAGATTCGTATCGTGAAACAATCGTGGCGATTTCTGTGATCGTGGCTCCTAATTGGTGACCTGCGACCAAAGATAGCCTACGATACAGCATGATCATCGCACAGTGTGTTTGCTGCTACGATCCACGTTTGCTGACCAACCAATAAAAATGCGACATGAAATCAACGCGACATGGCGCTAAAACATAAAACTGCTTACCTCAAGCTCTTATGCCTTCCTCTTTCGCCACTTCCACTTTTTTCAGCACACATAAAAAAATACAACTGCTAAAGTGTGATTTATCATGCTCTTTTTGTTTACCACTAGCGCCTGCTTTTGACGTTTTATTATTCTATAGGAACGTGCGTCGTAGAGTACGAGTCAATAGATGTCATTATCGTACAGTCTACACACAAGTCGTAGCCAAGTTTATTAGATCCATGCCACAGTGTGACATGCAGTGATCTTATAGGATTGCTAAAATCATGCAGTGTGTTTTGGGCTTTAGGTGTTGAGTAGTATGTCTTTGAGCCAATATTCAGTACGAGTAAAATACTTAAATACTGTTAAAATTAGATTCTCTACTCAAGTTGAATTTGAATTGGAGTTGTAACATGTAAAGTACATACGGTATATGTACTTTTACTCGAGTATGGTTTTAAGGTACTCTTTACACCTCTGCACAAGAGTTGGTGACAGCATACAATTATATAGGTAAACAATAGAAAGCGTGCTTGTGTAACAGAGGCCAGCTGGTAAGAGCTGCACAGGTAAACCTCACTCCCGGTGACCTGGGTTCTAATCCCACTCGGAACAAGAATGAGGGGAGGAAAACAGGAGGGGTTACGTTGGTGCCATGACCCGGATGGGAATGAGATTTAGGGGGTGAGTGTAACGGAGGCCAGCTGGTAAGAGCTGTGCAGGTAAACCTCACTCCCCTGATCTCAAAAGGTGCACTAGCGACTGATGTTAAAGGCCATGTTGGTCTTTAGCGTCCTTGTTACTATGCCCGCCCCCCATGGCCCCCCAGGTTCGAATCAAACTCGAACAAGAACAAGGGAAGGAGAACAAAAGGAGTTATGCTTGCTATTGGTTGATTATCATGAACAAAAAAAC